AGCCGCACCCGGCAGACGCGGGGAATTAATTATTCCTTGATCCCAAGGAGCTGCGCTGGAAAAGCCCTCTCCATCTTGCATAAAAACTTCCCCGCATTGGGAATCCCCGCCTGCTGCCGCTGAGAGGCTGTTCCCTGGGAGATTCCCCTCCTTTTAAATAGCAGAGATTTTTTGTAACACACAAGGGAGCCCGGGGTCGGGTAGAAGGGCTTGGAGCATCCCCCTGGAGGGGGCACCTGCCCGGCTCCATCACCCTTTGGAAGAGGCAGACATGGAATCAAAGATCACCGTAACAAATCTGGGGTTGCTTTGCTCCCACCTGGACAGGGCTGCAGCCTCTGCAGGGCAGGAGAAGGGGACTCGATTTCCTCAGTTTGGACAGGGCTCAGGTGTGGTGTAATCCGGGTTGGTAAAGCCTTCAGTATCTGGAATGGATTCATTCAACAGCTCCCAGCAGCATGGAAATTATTTTCTTTCCTCCTGCTTTTCCTTTTTTAAGCCTCTTTCCAGTTTGCCAGCCAGCAGGACCCACAGACTCTCCCTAATGCGTGGCTGCCACGGACTTTCCTTGGAGCCTTTTCAGCCCCTCCAACTCCACTTTTCCATCCCAAGGTTTTTTTTTGCCTTTTCCTTTTTCTTTTCATTCTGTGTTAGTACAACAATCCTGCGCTGTGAGACCCAGACAGCAGCACAAGGACCTGGAAAGACAAACTGTTTATGGAAGGAAATGGCTTTTTTTTTGGGATTTAGGTTTGTCTGAGCTGTGCTGGGAGGCCAGCTCTTGATGAATGCAGGGAGCAGTGGCCAGTGGGCTGTGGGTATGGACACTCTCCCAGGCAGGGAAATTCAGGTGAGACTGAACCCCAAATTTCCATCCTGGGCTGGCCCTGCCTGGGATGCTTGACATCATCCTAAATAGAAGGAGCATGGGGATAGTTTTGGGGGCTTGGCCTTGCCAGCATTTGGGAAGCTCACCAGGAGCCTCATCCCAGGAGAAGCAGCAGATGAAACTTTCAGACAACCCGAAGAAACMCCATGTTTGTGAATTCTGCTCCTCATGGGGGACCTGAGCCACCCCGGTGTCTGTGGAGGGACAGAAGCAGGGTCCAGGACACCCAGGAGGGCATCCCTGGACCCGARTGCAGGAATGGCCAGGCTGATGAGGCAGAGCTTGGACTGGCTGAGAAGAGCTGCAGAGCTGGGTTTGGTCAGCCCGGAGATGTGGAGGCTCAGTCTGAGAAAAAGAAAAACAACAAACAGGGACAGAGGGTCCTGCCTGCCCTCGGCACTGCCCACAACAGAGAATCCACGGGGAGTGGCACTGCCAGCTCTGAGTGTCCTTCCCTGCTCGCTCCAGCCCAAGGARGGTCTGAAATGTGCAGGTTTAAAGCCCAGAATGAACCCCAAAAGGGTTCAAAAACCCCTTAAAATCCCACCCTAAAAGTTTCCTGAGGCTCTGGGCCAAGCCAGCTCTGCTGTGTGCTGCAGCCTCTGAGCTGTTCCAGCCCCAATTCCTTCCGATTTCAAAGGAAAATCCTGTGTCTAAACAGCTCCTGGGGCGTGGGCATCCCAAAGGGACGGTGAAGCAGCTGCGTGGGGAATGCCTGGGATTTGGAAGCGCTGCCACGAGCTTTCTATAAAGATCCTCACCCACTGTGGAACTGCAGCTCCTCCCCTCTCGCCCACGGGATGAACATCTATCGAATTCCTTCTTTTTTTTTTTTTTTTTTTTTCTGTGCCAAGGAGCCCGAAGCCGCCTGCCAGAAAGGGGATAAATAAGGAGGCGCCACACCCCAGTGTTACAAAACCTTGTATTAATCATCTCCCTTCACTTTCAATATAGCGCGGATATGAAATATAGCCATGGTTCCGAGTTACATGGGAGGAAATGAGTAATAAATACATCGGAGCGAGTGGAAATCACAAGGGTGTTTCACTGGGAACAACATTGGAAAACTGTACACTTGCAAAGACCGGCATCTCCAAACATTAGTATTTCTTTATATCGGGAAGCTTTTACATGTAACAAACATGCTATTGCCATATATGACCAAAAAAAAATTAAAATTTAAAAAATAGGCATTGCTCGGCAACATTAACTAGGCAAAAATAGTTCTTTTGTGCACTAACTTTGTACAGAAAAACCAGGACGAAAGGCATGCATGGACAAGGAGAGGCTGCCCGGGAACGGCATGCAACAGAAGAGAGGTCAAAGCTCTTTAAAGTCAGCTTACAATAGGCATAAATACATCAGGGTTATATATATTAATAAGGGAGGAAGTATTCTGTTTAACATTATTAACATTCCCGTTTTTTAATGTATTTTTTTTTGTTTTGTTTTGTTTTTCTTCCTATTCCTCCCAGAGGAATACACATTCACCTTTAAGTAAAGATAAAGGAATACAAAAAATAAAACTCACTTTGCAAACTCTGATGACTCGTATAAAATCAACTTTAGTGTTATATCGTCGCTGTGTGCAAATTATAGACGTCTGCGGGACCCACTTTCCATCAGGCACATTCCGAAAGCCAAACGCGGGGCGCGGCAAAGGTGACAAAGGTGACAACACACAAATCGTTCCCTAAGCGCTGACCCGACCCGGCGCCGCTCCGCCCGCGGGCCCCGGGCACAGTTCGGGATTTTCCTGCCAAATCCGGGCTCGACCCTCCCAAACTCCTCCGAGGGTTTCTGCTGAGCTGAGCGAGCAGCGAGCTCGGGGTTTGTCCCTGGGGACGGCACGGGAAGGGACAGGGGTTGGTTGTGTCCCCGCGGGTGTCGCGGCCGCGGGAGCATCCGCCGGGCCCAAGGCCACTGTGAGCCCCCCCGGCCGGGGACGGCTCAGGGGAACAGCACCACGAAAAGGTCCCCGGCGGCGCTGGGGGGCCCGGGGGCGAGCAGAGGGACGGGGACACTCGCCCGCCCCACGCCCAGGACCCCGCGGCGGCGACATCTCCGGGGATGGAGGGGACAGGGAGGGGACAGTTGCAGTGGGGCGAGCGGGGATACAAAAAGAAAGGCACTGCCGCTTTATTACTGAATATTTTGACTTCACAGCCTCACTCATGCAACTGTTGGGGGTGGATTTTTTTTTGTTTTCTTTTTTTTTTATATTTCTATAAATAATTTTTATTTGTTATAGGATTCAAGCTTTTTTTTTTTTCCTTTTAAGCTTCTTTCCCTGGAGCTCTGCTGCCCGCACTCAGCACCGGCAGCCAGAGCCAGGCAGCACTTCCCGAACGCAACTGAAGCCACTTTTTTGTTGTTTTTACTCAAAAAACAAAACAAGAAACAGCAAACACAACTAARTCGTTATTAACCTCTACACTGTCAATGGAAAATAAGCTTTTTTTTCTTTTTTTTTTAACAACAAAAGGAAAAAAAAAATTGAATTATTTGGTGGTTGTTAATAACAGACATTATCATGGTTCCCAGCCATAGCAAGTTAATAGGTAAAATATCCAAAATAATCTCTCTGAACAATCAGAAAACCTCCCTGTCCATAGTCAGCGAAGGAATAAATAGAATTTCAGCTCTGTAAATACACCGGAGTCTCCCTGAGGGAGGCCTCTGCTACAGCGGTTCCGCTCACAGCTCACAAGCTGGGGGTGCTCGGGGGTGACCCAGGTCCCCAGCGCYGACCCCGCTTCACCGTCACCTCCTCACACCTCTTCCCAACCTCCCTGGCCTTCAGATTTTCCCTCCTCCCCCTCCCCATCACCCCCCTCAACCTCCTGTCTGCTGGGAAGCAGGACACCAAGGAACAGCAAACATAAAACATTGCATTTGGCACTTGGGTTTTTGTATATATATATATATATATATATATTTTTTTTTAGAAAAACAACTTAAAAATGCTGCATGAGGAAAGGATTCACACATCTCCCAGCCCTGCTCATGCTCTAGCTCCCTGCAGTCCCCTGCTCCCTCCGATCCGGGCACACGATGCTGCCCATCAGTCCTCACTCTGGGAGTGTTGCTGCAACCCATCACCTCCCTTCATTGATTAATTTTCCATTTGTTATTATTCCATCAGAGGACCTGGAGCAGCATCGGGAGGAGTGGGAGCATCGCTGCAGGTTTGAGCAGTGCCAGGTTGGATTTACCAATTTAACACCAAATTAAGCTCCTGCCACAAAAAGCAGCAGAGGGTGAGGGGCAGCCCAGCCACTGCCACCCCCATCTCCAGCATGGCACACAGTTAATGCCAACAGGGCTGAGAAGCTGCATTTTGGTGCCCTTTGTGGCTTGGGTTTTATCTGGGAGCTCCTCCATCCCTCATTTTTCCATGCTGGAAAAGCCCCTGATGGCTGGATTTGGGCAGGCTGGGCCAGATGTGTGGAGCCAGATTGCAGCAGCTCCCCRGTACCTGCACAGGCAAGGCAAGGGACAGAAACACTCCCGGTGTCCCCAATTCCCACCCTTCCCCTGGGACCCTCCTCTGGGCACGATGCCCCAACTCCATCCCGCATCCCCATCCGAGTGGGGCACGGGGATGGGCACCTGCCCACCCTCACTGCCCTGAGCACAACGCTGCCTCCACACTGCACATCTCTCGGCTAAACTGAAAGGAAATTTCAGGGTTATTTTATTATTTCTGTTTCAATCTGGGCTCGCCGGGTCAGTCCGTGCCCCAACGCGGCGAGACTCGAGACAAGCAACCGCCGGCCCCGAAGCCCCCGGCAAGGCAGGCAAATCCTCCCCAAARGGTTTTTGGTCACACAGCCCCGCCTGGTGTCCTTGGTATCCTCCTCCAGGAACAGGGTTTGCCCACAGTGCTCCGGTGAGCCCTCTGTTGTCAGCACTCTCCTCCTCCGTGTCCCCCCCAGCCTCCCCACGCTGCTTCATCATCGTCGCTGAGTCTTTTTTTTTTTTTTTTGCCATCTTTTTCCCCCCCTAGCATGGATGTAATAAATGACAACACAAATTCCAAGTCTAATGATATGTTCACAAGGACAATCTACACATTCACAAAATTAAAACAGGAGARAGAGAGAGAGAGAGAGAGAGAGGAGAGGAGAGGAGAGAGGAGAAAGGATGCAAGCTATCGCTGAGGCTCCCTCAAGCCCCGACCTCGCCGCTGGACCCGCAGCAGTTGTTGTCCCGGCCAGCGTCCCCGTGGCGACGCCTTCTAGATCGTGGAGGTTCTGTCGACACCATCTGCAAGCGGGAAGGGAGAGTTAGGAGCAGCCCCAGTGAGCACTGGTACCCCCCGAACTGGGGATTTGGGGGATGGACCCCCAGAGCACCCCCGACCCACATCCCCTACAGTGAGACGGTGTTAGGATCACCCCCACCGGCTCCCATCTCCCCAAGGGGTGCAGAAGTGTTTTAGGATCTCAGGCCTCTGCTGGTCCCTCTGTGCCACCAATTGTCCCYACCCCACAGCAGCTCCCAGAGTCGCTGTCCCAGCACCGGTCCAGGCTTCTGCCACAACCCCACAACTTTTCCAGGAGCAGAGTGGGTTTCTGGGCAGCCTGGACACCCCACAAGGTAGATGAAGTTTGGGGTTCTCCTACAATGGGACAATCCCTGTACCTCTGTCACCAGGGCACAGGGACAGAGCTGGTCCCAGAGCTGCCTCGCCCCCCAGTTCACCCAGCCCCACAACACCTGCACCACAGAGGATGGAAAACTTTCCTCCATCTGAGGATCATGGAAGGAAAAGCCCCAGGAGTCCTTTCTGTCTCCCCARAGCCCCTGTTCCCAGCATCCAGTGACAACAGGGATGCATCCAGCCACAGCCCAACCCCAGGATGAGGGGTCTGTGACCCACCCCAAAGCCTCACAACTGACCCTGGTACCAGCAGCCCCCTGTCCCCACCCCCCAAGGCCAGGAATCAGCACCCCAAAACACTTCCAACCCTCCAGCCCTGATCCCAACCCCTGTCCCCCATCCCAAACCCATCCCAGGATGGAGAGTGGTGGGAGGCAGCTCCTGGAGTGACTCCAGAACAGAGCGCTCCCTGTTACCACTTGGGGCACCACAGCCACCTCCCTCCTTGACACTAAAAACAAACAGGTTTGTTACGCCTTTTTTTTTTTTTTCTCCCCCGAAAGGTTTATTTTTTTTAAGAGCTATTTATAGCACGACCGGTTTGGAGAGGCTCGGGGAATGCGACCTGGAAAAAATTAACTTGGAGGAACAGTACCCTGCAGAGGAACAAGACAGCTAAGCCTCGGCTGGGCACACGCCGGAGAAACGCTTCGGGTGACAGAAGTGTCCTTGTTTTCCCAGCCAGGGATGCTGCCAGRGCCCTGCTGCTTCTCACAGTCCTTGTTCTCGTGTTCCTCTCCCTGGGAAGGGCTGTTGTATCCACAGGGAGCCCGGTGCTGGTCATCCTCTCCGAGGGCTCCTGTCCTCAGCCATCCRTCACAGTCCAGGATTGCCGGAGCGAGGCCCGAGCTGGTCATTCGGGAGCCCGGGCGATGCCGTGGCCGTGCTCATCCCATCACCGGGGGTCATCCCTTCTGCTTGGGGGTCCAGTGTGATGGCAAGGGACACCGGGAGCTTCTGGTGCCAGTGCTTTGTGCTGCACCAGGCTCTCCATCACGCTGCTGCTGCTGCTGCTGCCTTTTCCATCTTCCCTGCTTGTTTTTGCCCCGGTCCTCCTCCCTCCCCGTGCCYGTTATCGCTGGCACCCCCGGCTGTGTGTGGCACCAGGGCACAGTGCCCAGCACAACCCCTGGCCCAGCACCCGGCAGGGATTCAGCCCCGAGCTGCGGGGCACCCCCGGCCAAACGAGGGATCCGGTGGCGGAAGGGTAGAACACTCCAAAGCCYGTGACCCATCCGAGCGCACCGGCGGCGGCAGGGGCTTTATCCAGAGCTAACGAGAGTAGCGAGCTAACACTAATTATCATTAGCAAGCTGACGAGTGGCTAATTAGCACAGACTCCACTAGTGCCGGTGCGATCCGTGCGTTCGGCTTTGCCCCCTGCCCCGCCGCCTCGCCAAGAGAAGCCAACATTCCCATCTGAACGCCCCGGGAGTGGCCCCGGGAGCGTCCCCACATCCAGCCCCGCTGTCTCCCGCTCTCACAGCCACAGCCTGTCCCAGCTTTTGGGGGGAGCRGGGCAGGGGCAGGCGCTGGGGGGCTCAGCAGAGGCGGCGTGGACGTGCTGGAAGAGCCCGAGGAGGAGGGAATGCTCACCGCTGAGTGCGTGCTCCGTCATGCTCAGGCACAGGGACTCCAGCCTGTTGTTGATGTCAGGTTCAGTCACCGGCACCTGGAACTCTGCAGGGAGAAATGGAATGGGAGACCCCAGTCAGGCACCTGGCAGGGACCCTGCCTGCTCTGTGTGGGGAAACCACCTGGAAAATGCCCCAGGAGGGTCTGACAGGACCCCCAGTAAAACCATCTTCAGCAAGAGGCACTTTTAAAAATAGTCATCATCCCATTATCCATAAGAGATTAATCCAAGGGGGTTCAGGAGATGAACAGAGATGTGGGGGTCAGCTGGAGCGAAAGCAGGACCCCCACCCAGGGAGGGGCCAGCCCTGGACATCTCCTGGGGATGGATGCTGTCCATGCTTGGACATGGGATGGCAGCACAGACCGGCTGTCCAGCTGCCCCAGGACCAGCTTGGCTCCCACTCGGTCACCCACGTCATCCCTGCCACATCCCTGGGGACACACACATGAAGTCTGGAGTGTTCCAATGCCCCCGTCCTACTCTAAACAGCAGCAAACTGTCCCAATCCTGGAGCAAAACCTGCAAATAGAGCTTGTGCTACTGTGCTGAACAGCATTTCCCACTTTCCACTGGCTCACAGGAGCTTGGGGTGAGATCCAGGAGGGTTGAGGTCCCYCCACAGCCCAGCACACGGTGGTTTGTGAGCCCAGCATCACATCATTGCTTATTTTCCCTGTGACTTAGTCCACGTCTGTGGCTCCCCAATCCTCCTACGCCCTCATCCACCGCAGGCTGAAGAGAAAACCATTTATTCTCCTCCAGCGCCTGAGAAATGTGCCCTTGTCCCGGTGTTCAATCAATACCCAGGAACAGCTGCTGCTCCTGCTGCACGGAACATTTGCTGCCCAAATGCTGCAGTTAAACACCGCTGGCGTGTGAGGCCAGGGAGCTGCCAGCCCAAAGCTGCAGGAGTGCAGGGATGAGGGTGAGTTTGCTGGGGGATGGATTCCCTGTCCCGAGGTGTCAATTGTGGTGTGTTGGTAGGAAAAGGCACAAAGGCTCAAAGGCTAAGGAAGGGATACACAAACAGGCTTCCTCAGGGGCAGGATGCTCCAGGTCCAGGGTCCAAGGTCAGCAGGMTCCTCCCTGAGTGAGAGGATGCTCCTATACACAGGAGCATTTTGGCAGTGTTTGGGAAGGAAGCACTGACACAGCACCATTTCCCTTCACACGCACTGTGGAAAGAATTTCCCTTGAGTGCACGAAGGCAGTCCTTCCGCACCGGGGCTCCGTGTCCATCCATGAGGAAAAAGTGATGGATGAGCTGAGCCATCACCTTCCTGCCTGACAGAAGCCCCTCAGGAGCAAGTCAGGCAAGGCACCAGCATCGTGATACACAGAGTCAAGATGGCACACACAGGATCAAAAAKTCCTCCAGTGATGGCACACACAGGAATTCAGAGATATCCGGTGGGATGGCATGGGCCACGTGCCTGTTGTGGACTCACCAGCACAGCTCCTCTCACYTCCCCTTGTCTCACCCAGCTGTGAGTAAGAGAAGCTTAGAGGAGAACYTCTGCTGCCTACCTGGCTGCTGAAACATCAGCATGGTCTGCGGGGACGTGTGGACYGGCAGCGAGCGCGTCCTCTGCACCGAGCTGTGGCTGCGGCTGGGCATGCTGTTACTGCCCCCGGGGTTGGCAAACCACAGGTTCTGTGGGGAGCAAACACAAAGTGAGGGGTGCAAAGCAAAGCT